GAGGCCTGTAGCAAATTCATCGAATGGGCACTCTCTTGTCTAAATAAAGGAGAGAAGTTCAGATGAGACCTCCGTTCCTCCGTCCGTTCCGCCATGTGAGAATCTCGACTAATGACTGGCGAAAATGCGATCGAGCTCATATCGAGTTTGAATTGGGTAGTTTCTTGGGTCAAAAATAAATTATTTTGATTTTTCAGTTCAGAAAAATTGTTACAATTTAATTCATTGATTTGCCGATATACTTAATTATCGATTCATTTTAGCATTGTTTTTAACTTTTATCAACTACCGTATTGTCATCTTACAGACATAATAACCCAGCTGTAGTCACGTCACTGGGTGGGTATAGGTAGTATGTCCAGCTTATATTATAAAAACAAATAGAAAAACACCTATTTTACTATAAAAGTTTTGTAGAAAAAGTGCAGTTTAACCAACAAAGTTGATTCAAAGTTGATCCCTGAAAACAATTGTGCTTTTAAATTAGCAGTCACATATCAGCCATTGTTAGTCTTTTGCCCGTAGTTTTGTAAAAAAAAAACAGATTTTTTGTAAAAAAAAAGCAACCAAACTCCATTTTTAGCATTAAAACAATAACTATTGCCATTATTATTATTATTACTCCCATTTACCATTTCCAAACGTTTTCTTAAATTAGCGTGACAAATGATTTAAACTCACATTCGCTTTAATATTATTAAATTACACTAGACGCCAATATAAAAATAATCATCATTATTTCTTCAATTTCAACAGCTTACAAGTGGCCGCTGCTGACAATTTCAAACTTATAATTAGAAATTATAAGGCCCGGTTTCCTCACGATTTTTCCTTCAGTGGTGTCAATCTTAGAAAGTACATATAACTCGGAAAAGTTCAAATTGGCAAAAATCATGAAAGTCGTGTGACGTACTTTATGGTTGGCCCCTAATGCTGATATAAAGTCGAAAATCCAACAAATAGATTTGATAGATTGAGAGTAGATTGATCTGGCTGGCCTCGATACCTATATTTAAAGATTACCACAACTTATTTGGTGATCAAATTCCAAAATTACTTTGCTCTCATCTTATTCAAAAGCCTTGTAGTCGACCAACTCACTTAACGTTCATTGGAGCAACGAAAAACAAAAAAATAACCTTAAAAAGTTGAATTCAAATGTATAATGTGAGAACATAAATAAAATACCAAAAAAAATATTATGAACTTGAAATATTTGTTTGGTTAAATGCGTTAATCTCCAGAACTACTAGTTTGAATTCAATAATTCCTTTTGTTTTGGATAGACCATTTATTGAGGAAGGTTATATGGTATAAAATATCATGCTACGATTAATAGGAGCTGAGGAGTGGATGAAAGAGCGGAGTAGTAGCTAGTATTGGTCGTTAAAAGGTGGACGCACACTTATCGTCACCGAACACGTCAAAAGTGTAGAACGAAAAGAATTCTGTATAATATGTTAGGTATATACTTCGCAAACTTCGGATTCCGACGATTCGAGGCGGGGATATGTGCGTTCACCTTAAAGTTATTTTATCAAGGCAACTGAGTGAACTGACTTCATCTATTTCTTGACAAACTTGCGTAAATAGTTTTTATTGAAGTCTACGTCGTCGTTTCAAGTTATAAGTAAACATTGGCATAGACGTAGGTTCTTAAGTAGGTAGTTATTTTCAAATATCAAAGTTCAAAATATGATCATGAAACTAAAGGATATAATATTATTCGTGTGCAATTTTAGGCTTACATTAGGCTATTCATTTAACCCAGCCATCGCGAAGGACACACCGGGCGTCGGGGATGGCGAGACGATCTCCGGCCACCGTAAGCGCGGGCCTGCGGACGGCGAGCATGGGTGGCTCCCCGTCCGACCAGAAACAGACCCGAGCGTACGACGCGTCGCGTTCCGCGCGCGCCTCAAAGAGCCATCAGACCACCACAGATGGGGCCCAATAGGGCCGATGCCGATTCGGAGTCGCGGAGAACCTAACGGGTAACCGGGGCTCCGGCTCGACGTGCAGGAGAAGGAACGGGGTGGTTTTTAGTCAGTAAGAGTCTGACACTCCCTCCCGCCTCACCCAGGCGGG